TGTATTTTAAAAAAGATATGGAAATGATTAGGAACAAGAAATCCCTTATACATATTGAAAACACCTTCCCAATGATTATTAATATGTTTTAAATTTTAGTTTTTTTTAATTTAAATTATCTAAAAAATAAAATAAAAATTTTAAATAGATGTCAGGTCAATTTGCTCATGTTATATTTTCATGGACAACAATCCAACTTAGTGCTATTATGTTGTAAGTTTTGATGTCAATTAAAAATTAATTTTATTTTTCAAAATTTAATATTTCAGAATTATCCCAATGATTATTAATTTTTTGACTCCCACAAATGCTGTTGAAGAAGTATAAAATAATTTCATCTAAAAAAGGATTTTTAAAAAATATTTTTAGTGGGCAGATGTTTTCCTGCTTTTCACTGCTCTTGTTTTTATTGGAACAACATATTTCAATTATGTAATTGAAGTTGAACCTAGAGAATGGACTGAAACAGAATTACAAAGTGCCAAATCATCTTTAAGTACAACAACAGTTCATGGAACGACTATTTGTGCTGAGGAAGGCAAAAAGTTGGGATTGGATGTTTTACAAATTCGATGAAACGAGCGAAAGAAAATTTAAAAAATATTCACTTTTACAAATTTTCTCCTTTCACTTTTTTATTCCTTTTTTCAATTTTATCATTGAAGAATTTAAAAATTCAAATTATGTATAATTTTGTTTGACTTTGAATCATACAATAAATTATTTTAAAATTAGGTTTATGTATTTAAATAAATCTTTTACTTCGTAAAGTTTTTCTTAAACTATGATAGCTCCTTGAAACTCCGACCCAACGCCGACGATTTTTTTGACAGAAACCCGAACATCGAGAGCTATATCCGACAAACCCGACCCCGAGTCGGGGTCGGGGTAAAATATACACCCCCTAAAGATGAAATTTTTTGAGAAATTTTCTAACATTTAAATTCCCAAATACCTTATTGAAATAGAAAGGTAAAAATACATATGTATAATAATTTATGTATTTCATAAATCAGAAGAGAATGTGAAATGTGGCTTCTTAGTCTTCCAAAATTCTCAAAATTTTCGCCTAATGCGCTGAAAAGTGGATTTTCTATGCTCTCGGCACATTATACTTACAACTTTAATTTTAAAATTACTAGTGAAACCAAATTCCTAAATCCTACTGAGATGTAAACGAAATTGAGTGAATGATTTAATGTTAAAAATACTTTTGTTTAAAAATTTAGAATCAGTTATTTAATAAATATAATTTATATCTAATATTTTAATTAGGTATTTTGTCTAATATTAGTAGAGGTTATTCCATTCTTTGCTGGACTTCTCAATTCTTTTAAATTTTCAGCTCGAAATTGTCTTTCTAATTCTTCCAATGATTTTAATCTAGTTTCAGGCATAAAAAACCAAACAAAAATAGCAGCAGAAACTCCAATAATGACAAATAAATAAGAAGTTCCCCAAACATTAATTAATCCAACAAGAACAGGAAATAAAAAAGAAATTAAACAATTAATCTGAAAAAAATATATTTAATTTACAATTTAAATTAAATAAAAATTTACAAGCCAAAGAATTGAAGTAGTTAACCCCATTGCCAATCCCCTTATTTTAAGTGGAAACATTTCTGACTGAACTAGCCATGTAACAGGGGAAATACCTCCTTGTTGGAAGAGGAGAAAAGTTACAGTTAATGATAAAACAAGATAACCACTAAATATATTTTTGAAATTATTTTGATAAAATTGTTTTTATTTTACCGAATTGTCCCTTCTTTAAAAACTAAAGCAGTTGTGCCTATAAATAGATGCATAACTATTGTGCCAATTTGGCCACTTAAAAGCATTGGGCGTCGACCAATACGGCCAAGGAGCCAAATTCCCAAACACGTAGCTAATACAGAGATTACCCCATTAGCAATGTTGGCAACCAAAGCTGCATTATTGTCTAAATAAATAAAAATTAATTTGAAATTGAAAAAAAGAATTTAAAAGACCCAATCCACTCCTTGTCAATATATCTGTCCCAAAATACATAATTGAATTTACTCCCGCTAGTTGATTGCACATTGCAACACCAATGCCAATAAATAAACAACGACGAAGCCAACGTTCGTAGAGACAATTACTAAATTTTATTTTTATAAATAAATTGGGCAAAAAATTTCGGGTCTCTCTAATTTAATTAATTCCTAAGTAGAGAAAACAATACCAAAATAATTAAAATTTATGTAGAAATTTGGGAGAAATGAGAGATTTTACTTACCTAAAAGTTTTATTTTGTTCTTGTTCCATTGTTTGCCTAACATCCTCAACTTCATCTAAAACTTCTTGTTCATTTCTTCTTATCTTTTTGAGGACAGAAATTGCAAGTTCATTTTTCCCTTTATGGCATAGCCATCTCGGACTTTCCGGAATACCTCCAAACAAAATTCCAATTAATAAACAAATTGCTGGAATAACTGCCAAAGCTAACATCCAACGCCAAATATCTAATCTATTTTTATTTATTTTTTAAATAATAAATTTTAAAAAATCTTCCCACCGATGTCCCCAAATATTTCCAAGTATTGCATTACAAATATAAGCAACTAATTGTCCACTAACAATCATTAATCTAAAACAAAATAAATTAAATAACTTATTTAGAAACCAACTCATTTCGAGTAACTACTTGCCCTCTTAATTTTGCTGGAGATAATTCAGCAAGAAATACCTTTTTAAAATAAATAAAAAATAAAAATTGTCTGAAAGGACCGGGACTGTAGTTGATGCACCACCAACAGCTAAACCAAGAATGAATCGAAAGAATATAAGAAACTGAATTTTAAATAAATAGGGGAGGAAATAAAAAGTTTTTTTAATTTAAATATTTACATTAAGATTAGACAAAGAACATCCAATAGTTCCAATAATAAAAATAATCTTTACAAAAATAATTTTTTCTTTAAAAATATTTTTTAGTTAATTAATTACACTTAAAATAATTAATGTTTTTCTCCTTCCAATCCAATCTGCCAAATGTCCACCAATAAAAGAGCCGAAAGTAGCACCAATTAATAAAGAACTTGTTACAATTCCAATTTTTACCTTTTTTAAATTAAAAAAAAATAAATTTTTCCAAAAATTATTTTAATTTTTACATCACTAAGTTTCAAATCATTTCTCATATAAGGCAAAGCCCCATTAATCACTCCTGTATCATAGCCAAATAAAAGTCCACCAAGAGTACATATCCAAGTAATTTTATGAAGAAAAAAGCGATAATGGATATTCTAAATATATTTATTAACTTTAAAATAAATATTGAGAAAATGAATTGAAAATAAACATTATTGCTTTGTGGTCTGGATTTAAATTTACAAAGGTAAATTTTTGGTATATCAAGGCAATTTTGATATAAAATTTCTGTCGCTATAATCTATTAGAGTCCATTATAGTAAAGGGAGTCGACTGCAGAATACTACTTAATATATTTATTTATATTATTTATTAATTTTTTTTTGAAAATAAATATTTATTTTATCCCCAGATTCTTAAAATATTGACATTCTTATTTTAATTGTTTATTTTTTAAATACCCGCCTCTCTTTGTTCATTATTTGGTAGCGCAATATTGATCAGTTTTGTTGGCCGTTCACCGTTGTAAATTTTATTGTTATTTGATAATGGTTGTGAATACATTTTTATTTAAATATTTTATTAAAATATTTTCAAAATAACAAATAAACAAACAAAATTCTAATTCCTTTACTAATACATATTTCGATTATTTATTTCCTCAATTCAGTTCTCTCTTTAACGAATTAAATTTAAAATTTTATTCAGCCTAGTTTTATGTGAATAAATATTTAAATTGTTGTTTTTTAATTTGAAAAATAAAATTAATAATAAATTTTATTTAAAGATTTTTGTTAAAGATTATATTAAAAAAATAATAATTCTTTTAAATTATTACACTTATTTGTTAGTTATTATAAAGTTTAAAAGGCTTAAATGTTTAAATAATTTTAGTCTTCTCTTACAAGATTACTTAGTAAAAGTAAATAAAGGAATCTTTGTTTATTTTAAATTTAAAATATATTTGAATGTCTAATACTATTAATGTATTTTTAATTTTTTTAAATTTTGATTTCACCTAAATTAATACTTTAAAATTATTTTTTTAAATTCCTAACAATAAATAAATATATTTTTTAGAAAAAATTTAATAATAAATTTAATAAAATGCACGCAAAAAATAAAAAGAGAAAACAGATAATAATAGAGCCACAATTAATTAATTAATTAATTAAAATATTTTTTAGAAATTAATTTGTACATAAAATAAAAGTGAGGTTTTTAATTTAATTAATTTAAAGTGAAAATTAAATTTTTTTTTCATCAAAAAATAATTATTTTATGATTATGAAAATTATTAAAATATGTAGAAAAGGGGTAGGAAAGAAGAGATCAAACCTGAGAGTTATAAATATATAGTAGATAGTAGTAATTTTATTTTTCTGGGAAAGGGGATATTAAATAATTTTTTTGGATTAATTATAAATTAATTAAATAAAATTGAAACTTTTTCTTAAAAAAGAACACAAAATTTAATTTAGTAAAAAAAGTGATTTTAAAAATAATTAATCCTTTCATTAATAAAAAACAAAATTAAGGCATCACCGGAATATATAAAAAATATAAAATAAACTAAATAAACACAAAACCTTTAAATATTTAAAAAAATATTATCCCAAAGATTTACATTTTTTATTATTAAAAATATTTTTTTAATAAAAAAATTTCTAGAAAATTCATGTGAATTTCTCCAAAATTATTTAAAACAATTATATTTATATGTAGAGAGAGATCATTGGACAAAAATAGAAAAAAGTTTTTTTTCAGAAAGGTTGGATTTTAATAAATTAATTTTAAATAAATATTTAAAAATATTTTTAAATAAAAATTTTTCTAAAAAAATAAGAAAAGGTTTTATGTGTATTTATTAGATAATTATGTATTTTATAAATAAACTTTTCTTATTCTATAATCCCTCGGAAGTGTAGAACCTAAACTAGCTGTTTGGCACCTAGCATCATGCCTTGGTGTTGCAAAACCAGAATTGGCTCTAGATGCTCCTGTTGAGATTGAAGTAAGGGGAACTAAATGATGGACACCTCCTCTTTGGCTCATTACTAAACTAACTGTATCCCCTCCATTACAGACACAACTACGAGGGCCAACCTTGAAAATATATTTAAATTTTCAAGACAAAATGAAAACCTACTGAATAAACATTATTTCCAGCCAACATCATCATTTTCTGTTCAGTTGAATCCTGCCTTGCCAGTCTAGCTCTCGCACTTCCGTCTGTACCGTCTGCATAATCAGAACTGTTAGAAGAAGTACTTGCACCTGAGGAAGCAGGATTATTACGTGTAAATTCGCTCAAAGTTCTCCATTTAGCTATACGCCAACCAATCTAAAAAATATGAAAGTTTTAAACTAAAATTTTTCAAATTAAATATATTAAAAATCTGGTAAATTATTACAATTCTTAAATTAAAAAACTTACAACAAAACCAAACAAAGTAGCAACCAAAACAAGCAAAACAAGAACTGAAAGACTTCCAGTTGAATATAATCCTGCCAAATCAATTCCTCTTTGTGTTGGTTCTGCAATATGTGCAGCATCAGAATCATCAGATAAAGGGTCATTAAGTCTGTTATTTAATGGAGACAAATTTTGTAGTCCACCACCGCCAAGAACATCTTCATCTATTACATAAGCAGCTCCACCCTCTGCATTTCCCAAAATACTTGTAAATCCTGGACATTGTTCTGATACACCCAAAAGAACATTCTGAACATAGGAACCGCTATTCCAATCTCTGAAAACAATTAAATAAGAATAAATTAGAAGAGAATCTCTGACTTTCTATTAACACAGCGCCGTAATTCAATGTCCCAAGCACAATGCTTAAAAATAAATTTTAGATAATTAAAAATAATTTTCAAAATTATTTTACCGGATCTCTTAAGGCAACACAACGTCCACAATTTTCTGCCAATGAACAATGTTGTAAAGGAATATTGGCTACTTGAGAAAGCGAAGAAACAATTAATGAAGGGATATTATTATTTGAAGTATTGGGCAATAAACGAATTCCAATAATTGGTGTAAGTAATGGAAATACTTTAATTGTCTCAACAAGAACAGCTGTTCCATTTTGGGATAAATCTATTAACTAAATGAGAAAAAGAATTATTAATTATACTTTAAAATATTTTAAAGTTTTCTTGCCTTAGAGATAGTTCCATCTGTTCTACCAACAAATATAGCATTATGCTTCTGTCGGCGAATAGAAAGGGCATCTGCTGTAACTGCAATTGATGTTAAATCAGCACGATTTGGACCTAAATAAAAAAAATTTGGATGGAAAATTTAAAAAAAATTCACCCTCAACAAGCAAAGGACTATTTCCAATAGTTGAAACTGTCTCATACATAAGAGGATTCTTGCTAATTGGAGCCATATCTGAAAGTTTATTAGAAGCATCTGGTCCACACTGTCCTGGTCTTTCAGAAGGATTTGAATAAAATTTTTGTGACGGAGTCCATAAAGAGGTTGGAGATCTTTGGGTCTAAAAAGAAAAAATTTTTTCTTTAAGTAAAATTAAATTTCACCTTAAATCTCCCATGATCAAAAACCGAATCAATTTGGCTCATTCGAAAAGCGCAGACTGCTGACATTGGTAATGATCGACTAGTTTGAAAAATAGCATAAACTAAAGCATCCCCAGAATTTCCTCCATAAGGAATTGGATCAGATATTGACTCTAAAAAGCATTTTCCATAAATTTAAAATTGTAAATAAATTCTCTTACGTATTTCATTAAAATAAAAAGGAGAAATATCTCCATCACCGGGAACAGAACAATTTAATCTCAACTTTAAAAAGCTCGACCATCTATCTTGTGCCGGGGAAGGACCCCCAGGATCATTAGCACAAACTCTTCCAACTCTTGAATATATTTGTGTTTCTCTATTGTTGTCGAGAGCATCTGAGGCTTTCTCTCTATACCAAAAATAAACATAATCCCCATAAGAGAATGATCCAACAAAATTAGGTTCTAAAACAGAAAATTCGTTAGTAAATAACTCCTTAATAATACTCTACCATCAATAACTCTGTCATCTTTTTGTGTTCGTAAACTATCACCACCTGACAATCTTCGCCTATAAATAAGAGGATCTGTAGCACTAAAGTCAGATATTGCTCCAACAAAAATATCATTCCGTTCAGGTAAATAAACATAAGAAGAATTTTGAAGAGGATCATAAGGAGAAATTGCCTTTAATTTAAAATATTTATAAATATTTAATTAAATATTTTACTTGTCCATTAAATTGTCCTCTCTCAGCAAATCTATCTTCAGATTGAATAAATTCATATTCACGACATTGTGGAGAAAAAGCATGTGTTCCACAAAGGAGAATACGTCCATTTTGGAGTTTTGCGGCTACTCTGACGAAGTTGTGGCATTCAGCCTGGAGGATTATTTTGGGAAATTATTTTTAAAATAAAAGGTGTAAATTAATATTCAAAATCACCTCTGATTTTCCCTTCATAAGGCATTCTTCAATTGTTTGGCCAGGTGCTTTCCATTGGATTGTCTGAAAATATTTTTTAGTTAACAAAGTAAAAATCTTTTTTTAACACATTTTCTCGATTAATTATCCAACTAGCGAAAAATTGAATAATAATTACCCCACTCCCCTCAATTATCCTTTAAAATTTTAAACACAAATAGACCCCACGATTACTGTAATAATTTGTTCATAAAAAGCAAAAACTCACTAATTTCGTATTTAATCTGCTTGTAGAAAGATTATATAAAGCATCTCTATTTAATAAGAAAAAATATTTATTTAATTATAATTGAATAAATTTATTTTACCTTCCCCCAATCAAAATATAGTCTGAATTTACATTTAGCAAAATAAATCTATCCTGAGTTTTGATAGGGCTTGTAAACCTTGGAATGCTCTCTACTGAAATATTTAAAGTATTTTTTTAATTAAAAAAATATTTTTGATTTCAAAAACTTTTTAATAATTATTTAAATTTACAACCCCCCTTTCCCCTTTCACAATACAATTCCCCCATATTTTTGTTAACAATTTCCTTCCTTTTAATTACAAAAATATGTGTAAATATGTAGATATTAGTTTTTGTTTTATGATTATAAAAATTGATATAAATCTACGTTTTTTGCATAAATGTATTTTATTTTTTAGTTGTAAAAGGATCAAAGGAGAAAAAATTCTAAAACAAAACTGCTTGATAGATGAGAATGGAAGAATAATGGCAAAAACGGAAAAAAACAAATTAAGTATGTACAAATATTGAACTAAAAAAGGATTTCCATTTAGATTTAATTACTATACATATTAGAATTAGTTATTAAATAAAATAAAAATATCAGAGAAGGGTAAACAATAAACGAGGAATTTTTAAATAGTTAAAATTCGTTTTATGAATAAAATTAATACTGTGGACTTGAAAATAATTAAATAATTTTTTTGAGTATTTTTACAAATATTCTTAAATTATAAAGCATATAAACTAACAACTGATCTAACACAATTTAAAAATTACCTGTAAAAGTTTAACACTTGTACATATAATTATTATTTTATTTTTCAAAAAACTTGTTGAAAATACCTTCAAAAGTGTTCTTTTGTTATTTTCAATAATTATTTAAAAACAAACAAATAAATTTATTTGTTTATTATACTCTCGACATATATTTTCCATAATATGTATATCCACTCATCGGCGACAGCGTCAATTTGTCTGTCATCATCTCTTTCCCCCCTTTTTTTCATACTTATTCACAATAGCCAAATTGCGCACAAAACCCAATGTAAACTAACAATTTGTCCGTGAATTTATTTTTGAGTAAATCGAGACAATTACTTGACGGTCAAAATAATTTTTGTACAAAACACAAAAATAATTTAATAGTTTTCTTTTCATCTTTTTTGAATAGCAACAATCTTTTCAATTAAATTGGGAAGAAATTTTGATTTGTAAATATATGTAAGTGAGGAATGACATTGAAAATAAAATTAACAAAAGAAAATAAAAAAGATTTTTTGAAAATATTTGGAAACCTATTTTTATATACATCAAACGAGTAAAATATAATTAAAAATATATCCGATATGAATAGAATTATTAAAAAAATATATTTGTAATGGAATTAGGTATATGTATGTATTGTTAAATATAATTTACATTATTAATAAAATAAAATATTTTTTGATATTTTTACCTTCATTAATAAATTGACTCGGTCTCGGGTTCAAATTTTCTATCGAGTATACAGGAATAAATATAAAAATCAGCAAAATTAATAAGTTGTCAAAGGGGGCAAATATAAAATTTCGTTTTATTCTCCTCCAAATTATCATAACTTTGATTGAGGAAATAAAAACGGAGAAAATAAAAGAAAGAATTTTTTTCGAAAATTTAAATGTTGCTGAAAGTTTTTTGTTGAAATTGAAACTAAATTAATTAATTTAGTTGTTGAATATATTTAAAAGAAAATAAACATTTTCAGTTAATGATGCCTTAAAATTATTTTAAATTAAATAAAAATAGGAAATTAAATTTTGAAGAAAAAAGGTGTAAAGGGAATTAAGAGAAAAAGAAGGAAATGACCAAAGACTCATTGACAAAAACGAAAGTAAATGACCCCATATGCAGCAACTAAATAAATTTTGAGAGGCCCAGCTGATGACCAAAATAAATAAAAATTTTGTTTGGAAATTAAATTAAATAGTAAATATAGGTAATGTATTTGTGTATTGAAATTAACTATAGATGAGGATAAAATTGGAAATAGAAATTATAAGGATATTTAAAAAAAAGTATGGAAGGATAACTTTGAAATAATAATTTCAATATTATAATTTTATTTTAAGAAAAACAATGGAATAAATATTTAAAATATACTACGGAAATGTTGAGAAAAAACTGTCTTCAAAAAGCAGAAAAACTAATAAAACTTCAATCCTACAAATAACTTTTTAATATTAAAGATAGAATCAAATAATCGGGAAAATCAAAGCATTGTAAAAAAGAATTATTAATAATAAATACAAGGACAAAAAAAGAGAAAATACAAAAGCGGCAAAGCACGAACACAATTTAGTTCGAAAAACGACAAGAACGACCTTTTCCGTCTTTTATTAAGTAAAAGACTGACAAAAGTATATATCTACATAACGTTCTTTTTGCCGTCCGAATGCCCACAAACATTTTTCCCCCTTCGATGATGAACTACTACTAAAGTGAAGGGACACTGACTGAAGGCCGGTGGGGGAGAAAAGTGGGGCAGGCACCGGGGGAATGCTCTAGAGCAAATCGATGGCCTGGGACGATGTTTTAGAAAAAATGGGGTTTATTCTTTCAATAAATAATTATATATTTTTTTCTACTAAATGCTTTGAATTATAGCTATTTTTGTTAAAAGACATAGAGGAGATCTTGTGGTTTGTGGATAAAAAATTAAATGAGAGAAATAAATGAGAGAAGAAATAAATTAAAATAATTAAACATAATAAAAGGTGATCAAAGTGATAATTAAATTTTAAAATAATTAATTTGCCTTAAATGTAATTAAAATTGAAAAAATAAAGTATTGAAATAAAAAAACATTTTTTAAATGTATAAAATAAGGTATTAACTACATAAATGTTTTTCAAAAAAATAATTTAGCCTTCAAGTTAAGTTTTGCGCATCCCCCCATAATTTTCACGCTCAAATTGTCACCTTCTTACTTCTATAAATGACCCTACTAACAATGGCCGGTATTCTTCTTTTTGTCTTCTTAAAAGAAAAAAAACTTGATAGAATTTTACTATTCGTAATTTTTTCCCCTCTTTCAATTAGGCCATCATTATTCGCGCCCGATTGATTCCCCAGAGGGAAAAGGGGTAAAGAATAAAGAAAATCGCCAAATCTTTAGTTGATTTGTGCCCCCCCATCCATCCCCCATCCCTTCCCTCTTTTTTTTTTACATTTTTTGATGCTCTCTGAATGTATTCAAGCGTTACAAATTTTTCTGTTTTATTCTAAATGTTCAAAATAACGGCCAAAACATTTTTTGAAATTACCGCCTCTTTTCAATTTTGACGGCCTACACCACTTGATGGATTAAGAAAAGGATTGGTCACCAAAAAATTGAAGTGGATACTTAGAAGGATTTTCTCAAATTTTGAAATAAATTAAAGAAAAAAATACTTGGATATTTACATCTTATCCTTTTATTAGGGGAAAAATATTGGTGGAGGGAGAATTTTTATGAGGAAAATGGATAATCTTTAATTGAAAATAAAAATTTTTTTTAACTATATTTAATATATTTCTCTATTTTATTCTAATTTTAAAATGTAATATGAGAATAATTCATTCGTATTAGTATATATTATTATTAAAAATTGTGAACGATAATTTTTAGTTAAATATTTAAAGAAATTAAAAATTAAAAAATTATTTTTAATAAATAAAAAATATCAAAATAAAATTGAATTATAAATTAAAAACTCATCTTTCCTCTCATTATTCTCATGAATCCACAGCTCAGCAGGGTATTTTAACGTTTTATTTTTCAAAGGAAAACATACTAATTTAAATAGAAAAGCCTGGGAATTTTATTGAAATTTATTTATTTATTAGGGCCGACACCACAAATTAGGTAGGGGATGATGTGAGAGTGTGAATTGAAAAATATAAATGGTTAAAAAATATTAGAGGAGAATGACTAAATTGGCTAGGGATGTCTTCCATTCAAAAGTAGCTGTGAAGTGAAGAAAAAAATTTTGAACAGGAAATTAATGGAATAAAATTGGGGAGGGGGAATGTGTTAATTTATAAATAAATATTTTATTTCTATAATATATATTCTAGATATTTTAAGAAGGGTTTTAAGAAGAAGGGGCAGATGGCCAAAAAATATTTTATAATTTAGTAGAAATATATTTTAGAAAAGAATAATAGGAGAAGATCAACAAAATAAATATTTATTTATTTATGCTTCTTAAACTTGTTGAACGTTTTGTCATACAAGCAAAAAGAACCTAAATAATTATGATATTTTTAAAAGACATTATCCAGTATTTGGCTAATAATATTTAAGTATACTTTATTTAATGTTTAAAGCTCTTAAGATTTTTGACTAGTTTTGAAAAAGAGAGAATTGTGTGAATAATGTTTTTGTTTGTTTATTTACATAAATTAATTAAAAGACAAAATTAACCAAATATATTTATTACTAGCTAGTTCTTGTTGGACATATAATTCTGAAAGAAATGCGAGAAAAAATTAGGAAGATTATTTATTTATTTTATATTTGTCCAGAAGTAAAGAAAATAAAAAATTGTTTAGTTCTATTTAAGGAGATTTAAAGCAAAGTTTTTTGTTTAAAAATAATATGTATTTGGAGCTTATTTTGTGTATTTAAAGCTTTTTTGGAATAAACTAGTTTTGGCCAGAAATTTTCTAAAATACAAGATTCTTATTTTAAAATAAATAAAGGATTATAAATGGGGTTAGCTTAAATATTAAGCATTAGAGGTTTTCCATAATAAATTTTGAAAAATTTTGTGAAAAAATTTTTCTGTGAAAATTTTTTAAAAAATGATTTATAAATCTTCATATTTTGCCAAAAATAGTAAATGTTGAACAATTAAAATATGGGAAAATTAAAACAAAAAGATACACTGTAATATGTACTCCAAAATATTTAAAAAGAGCAACGTCCTTAAGTGCTCGGACTAACGTAAAATTATTATTGTTGCCTTCATAATTATGAGATAATAAAAATTGTTTTGAATAGGAAGAAAAGATTTAATTATAAAATGGAAAAAATACAAAATCAAAGTAAAGAAATTAAATAAATAGCAAAGTTTTTATTTAATCTAACAATTTTTGGGGCATTGTTTTAATCCAAAACGCTAAAAAATTTAAAAACCACAACCTTTCAAACAATGTTTTGAATTTAAAGGGATATTAAAAGAGAAATGAGAATTAAATGAAGAAAATTATTTATCAATATTTTTATTTCCAAAAAATTAAAAAATTAATACCAATAAATTAAAATATATGTATGTGCAAATAAATAATTAATAAAAAAATAATTGAAAAATCTTTTAGCAAAAAAGCCATGTGAAAAGAATAAAATATTTGGAAAGCTAATAGTTATTATTTAAGTAAATAATATTTTTTGAAAAAGTCGTGACTTGAAAAAAACTTTCTTTACAGACCCATCTAATTTTGGAGTGTAGTAATACTATCGCGCACGCGTAGGTTAGAAATAAATTAATTTTTCTTTTTCGTCGATTGATCGACCCTTCTTTCAATTTAAATTGCTCATGCGACTTTCACTTCTTTAAATCAAAAAATTGTTTTTGTTTTTTAAATAAAAATTATTTTTAGATTGAGGAATTAGAAATAAATTATTATTTAATAAAAAATATATTTGTTATAATTATTTGTGACAAACAGCTAGCTACCTCGCTAATACATTCCTTTAAAATATGTAAAACATCCAAGTGTTGATCTGACTAGACTATGTACATACACTGTTTTTCACATTTAAGATGGCCCATTCTGATTCATTCAAAAATATTTATTTAAATCTCGTTTTGTTAAAAAACAGTGAGAAAAAATAATATTTTATTGTATATTTGTACTGGGTCAAGAAAAGATAAAAATATCTTGAGAACTTTTTAGGATTACCTTTTCCGAAAAAATATTGTTTCCAAAAATTAGATTTTAAATTTTTTATAGAAAAACAATTATTCAAAAAAGTCTCAACATTCAAATTTAAAACATGAAAAATTGCCTAAAAATGGTCGTAAATGTTTTAAAAAATATAAAAAAAGGATTTGAGGAAAAAATCCAAAAAATGAGAGAAAAAGGTAAAATCAAATGACCGGTAAGCCAAGCCAAAACTGTCTAATTCAGCCTTTGTCGTCCTCAGCTTTTTCATTCTACCACCGTTATTTCAGCTGCTTTGTCATTGCAAAAGAATTTTTTGTTGCGCCCAATTTTTTTGTTTGTAATAAAACCCTTAATTCAGACATTTATTTATTCACAAATCTCCCCATCCTGATCGATTTAAGGAAATTAAAAAGAAATATTATACCAAAACCTTTTTTAACATTTTCCAATAAAATTATTTTAAAATATCCTGTTAATCCTTTTATTTTATAAAATATTTGTATGTGTCTGCGGAGAGTAAAAAATATTGGAATATTTACATAATTTAAAGGAATATTTTGATAAATTTAGGAGTTATTAGACAAAGTTATAAAAAATCGAAAAATATTATTTGTAATTTTAAGAGAATAAATAAAAATAATACTATTTAAATTGTAGATTGTCTTATAAGTCGAAATTAAATATTGTTATATGTAGGAAGATAAAAAGAGTTGGGAAGATATGCAATATATGTAATGTAAATTCTGATAATTATGTGGATTCTCAGAAAGATGTTTGTTACACAGCTTTAAACTATGCAAAATAAACGAATACTACGAGAGCTTTAATTTTTCTTCCGTTTGGAATGGGGAATGTCATTCGGAAAAAATTCCAAATTTATTTATAATTTTAATTAACAATTAGAAGTTATTAAAAAACGTTTTTTATTAGTTTAATCATTTAGTTTAATCATCTTTACATCCGCAAATAATAACAATTGTTATCCTCTCTTTTCCTCTTTCCTAATCCACGTCTTTCCCCACTTTTCATTTACTTGCGCGCCCTTTGTCCATCTAGTTTTTCTGGAGTTATTCTGTGCGAAGTAACAAGTCCTCCCTCCCTTCCTCCTTCCTTCACCTCCTCGAAACTCTTTTTTCTTTGCTTAAGTAAAAATATGGGCGCGCAATTGGGAAGAAAGGATAAAAAAAGAAAGAGATTTTCTGTAAAAAGAATAATTGGAGTATGAAGGATTATGATTGAAATTGGGAAAAGAATTGAGATTTAATTGTGAAGAAAGGGAAAAAAGATTTTGAAGGAATTGGGTGATGAAAAAAGGGAATGAAGAGAATAATTGAGATTGTAAGATGTTGGTAAAGGTAAAAAATGAAAGAAAATTAGCTGGAACTACTAAAACATTTTGGGGTAGGAGAATAATTAAAATAAAGTACATTTGGTATCTAAAAGGATTAAATAAATTAAAAATATTAAATAAAAATATAAATTAAGAAATTTTTTGTTTAAAAAAGCATTTATTTTATTTTTTAATATTAAAATATTTTAGGTTCAATATTTTTGGGGAGAATTTTAACAGTAACGGAATACTAAAAAGTTATATTCTTACGTGGTTTATTCAAATCACCCTTTAATTTTAACAAAGATCCGAGGATTTTAACTTTAAGATAACAACAATTTTGCTAGCTTGCATTAATAAAACATAGTACAATATAATTTTTTTAAAATCAAAATTAAAAAACTAATGATTTTTAAAAGAAACAATTAAGAAAAACAATTAACTGATTGTAGTAAATTATTTAAATAACTGGAACTGAGTCAAAGAATCGAAATGAAAAAGTTCTCGCTCTTCGATTCGGTACAGAACCGAAAACACTATTTCAAAATGTTAAACTTCTTACAAAATATTAACAATTAATGGAAAAAAAGATAAAAAATAAAATTAGTTTATGACGTTTATTTTAAAAGAAAATTAAAAATTCTACTAAAGAAAGATTCTAAGATTAATTAAGTTCTCTCTTAAATAAAATTAATTTTTTAATATATTTTTGTGTTTCTGTAGAGTTGTGAATGAGTTAAAGGAGTAGAGAATGAATGTTTATAAGAAAATTTTGAAGAAAAGAGGGAGAAAACCCAATTTGTTTTGAGTTAAAGGGGTATATGTACAAGCCATTGAAGGTAGGTAGAGGTAGATAGAGGCGGATTTCATAAATTGGTTGACGATTAAATCTTTTATTTTTAATTACTAAAAAGTATTTTTGAGAAAGAGGAGTACTTTTAAGAGAGTAAAAAATTAACGGAAAGAATTGGGAAAATGAAAAAAAGTCCTTTTTTTGGGAAATTTAGATTTAATTTATGTCGGTATTTTTTTTGTTTCCTACTTTCTTAAAATAATCCAAAAAATTATTTCTGTAAAAATAAAAATTAAATGTTTTTGCATTAAGGAAATAATTTTTGAGTTTTTAAAAGTGGTCTAATTTGGTTATGAATGTTAGTATAAAAAGTTATTCTATTTTAACTGAATTTAATGTTAAGTCCTTTGATATTTATAAGGTTATACATACAGTCAAATTTCGGTAATTTTTTTTACTTTAACGAGTTGCAAATATATTTTTTTGGAATTTTTGATAAATAGTGAAGTGTGCCATTAATTTAATAAATAGACAAAGAAAAAATAAAAAAAAACAAAATTTGTTAACGAACTGCTCTAAAAATGCTGATAAGCGAAATTAAGAGTAAAAATATCTATAGAAATTTTTGACAGAATAACTTTTGCACATAAAAAAACAAAAATAAATAAAATTTATTGCTATGTTTGACTTTAATGATTTCTCTTTATCAATGATAAAATGATGATAAAAAATAGGTACATAAAAAATTGTTTCTCAATAAAAAGTATTTTTAAAAGAATTATTTAAGAAAGAGAAAAAAGAATTGAAAGTTAAAAATAAAATTAGTAAAGTGAATTAATTAATTAATTACACAATTTTACTATTTTAAACAAATTTTTAATGTTTTTCCCCGAGTGGGGACAGCAAAAATTGATTTGTTGAGCTCTGATATGAAAATGGTTTTTGTTTTCATTTATTGTGTATTAAATAAAATTTATTTTAAAATTGTAAAAATAAATTTCTAACAAAAATAAAATTAATAACAATTTACAAAAAAATTAAATAAATAAAAATAAATATTTCTTTAAATAAATTAGGGTTAAAAATAAAAAATTATAAAAAATTTCTCCAAAATTAAAAACACAACTTTCCACCCAATTTGTATCAAATATTTGAATTTAAGCGCAAACAAAGGAGTACAAACAAAAGGGCATAAAACAAATTGAATGCAAATTTGCAGCGGATTTATGCACATTGAGGACAAAGAAGAGGAAGAAGGGGGATTTTAGGGGAAGGCTCACTTTTGGGTGTTTTTCTAAGTTAAAATCGGGGGAAGTAAAGTGTGGAGAGAAAATAAATAAAGAATAAAAAGATGTCCATTATATAGCCAAACAAATATATAAATAACCATTACCCCCCCCCCCCCTCACCCCCTTTTTTTAACTTTCCCCACACAAACATGGCCGGATTGATTGCATTAGTATTTGACCAGTAAGTGTTTCGCACTACTCAAACTATGCTAATTTAAGGGGTGGAGGGAGAAAGGGGGAGAAGAATTTGGTCCTTTTAAATTTGTTAAAAAAAGGAGCTGAAAACAAACAAATCAAAAGAAAAAATATTTGGAAAAGTTGGGAAGAGAGAAAAATAAAATTATTTTTAATAATTAAATCAAAGGCATTAATATGTAATAAGTTTTTAAAAAAGTTTATTAACGAGAAAATATTATTTAAATTAAAAAATTAAAATTTAAATATAAATCAATATTTCAATATTAAATAAAAGAATTAATTTTTCCCAGAAATTAATTTATTTTTAAAAGATTTACATAAATTTATTTTAAGCTAATTTATATCTTCGGCAAATTAAAAAGAATGTTTGCTTTTAAGAAATGCCAAATTAATCGTGTTATTCAAAAATAAAAGAAAAGGAAGAAAATAAAAACATTTGATTCCTTTCAACATTGCTTTTTTAAGAGGAAATAAATTTGAATAAAAAAAGAAAAAAGAAGAATAGCAATTTGTCAGAGTTTTAAAATAAATTTAGAAATTAGTAAATAAATAATGTTAATATTTATAGATTTTCAAATTAAATAATTAAAAATATTAAATAAAGTTTAAACAAAAGCTTGTTATTTATTCGATAAATAAATTGACGTATAAAGTTGAGATACGTGAAACTGAAAGTATTATATAGGCAGTTTCGTCCAGTGGCCAACCAAATGAAAAAATCTGGCATTAGTTTTTGAGCGACGTAAAAATGTGGTGACTTCAACTGAGGTCCGGCCTGTATCCAACTATGTCCTTCAAGTTTTTAAATAATTGCTCAAGCATGGCCAATTGCCTAAGGCAAAGACAATATAAAAGCAAAAATGGAATAAAGCCTTAAAATGACCATTCCCTGTTGATGTGTAGTATTTTTGGAAAGAAATAATTAGGTATTCATATATTCTACATCGAGAGGAGATGGATGGGGGAAGAAAGGAAAGGATACAATGTCTCTACGGGAGTTGAATAACAAAAACAAAAAGAAAATGAAAATTGTTAAAAAGGGGATATAATTTAAAGTCATTATTTTCAAAAAATATTTTTCTAATTAAATGAAAAATTTGTCAACTGTGTTAATTAATAAATTAAATTAAAAAATATTTATTTTAATTAATTAATTATATTTATTGGCATAAGTTAATAAACCTTTTAGCTACTTTTGGACTTAGGTACCAGGGGTGTACGAGTTTCGCCTTCCGCATTTTAAAATCACTTTCGACACACCCCTGTTATGTAGGTACTAATTGTAAGATGGAAAAAGAAATATAGAAAAAATAATTTTCAAATAAATATTTTTTTAAATTTATTAATTTCTATATTTAATTTAAAATATTTTATTTTAATGTTTAAACAGTTAATTAAAATTAAAATTTAAATAAATTTATTTTATTTATAAAAAATTTAAAAAAAATTTAAATTTATTTGATGGGTAGATATTATTTAAAAGATGAGAAGTGTTTATGAAGAAAAAACCCAAAGGGATTGGTAAATTTTTGCAAAAACAAAAGAAAAAAATGGCATGAATAATAAATGCAAAATAATCCTTTTCTTTGAATTATTGCTGAAAAGAGTTTTTAATAGTAAGAAAAAAACTAAAAAAATATTTTAAAAATAGTTTAAGGCTTTGGTTGTTTTTTGAGAGTGTTTGGTTGGATATTTTGCCTTTTTTTATAGCCTCACATTTTATTTTAAAAAAATAAGAGAAAGGAACTGACACTTATTTTATACTAAAAGTTTATATTGAAAATAATAGATGGACATCACAAAAATTTTTCTTGAAAAGTCCCAGATGGAGAAAGATATAAAGAAAATAAACAATTTAAATAATAATAATAATAAATATAAAAATATTTTTTAATGAGGTATTTGAAAAATAATTGGGAATGAAAATAATTTAATTAAAATATAAAATAGATAATTTAAGGTATTTAATTTAATATGTATAAAGGATAGATTATCAGATCTTTTTTTTTACTTTAAAGGGGATTTTACATATTTGATGAATGAAAAGTTAATAAATTTTTTTTTAAATATTTTAATCAAAAATTAGACAATTTAGGCCATTTATTTGAATCCCATCCAATCTTCTTTATTCCCAATTTTGGCATTCCATTATCATTTTTATCATAATAATGATAAATTAACAAATCACCAAAACCCTCTGCTGTATAAACACTTTGTCCTCCAGGTCCAATTTCATTCCCATTAGAAGATAACAAAAGCATTCCACCCCCATTCATCATTGATACATTTTTATTGTCAAAATAAGGTCCATTTGGACTTTTAGAACGGCCAACATGAATACTATAAGTGCTTTGTAATCCTTTACAGCATTTATCAAAAGAAACAAATAAATAGTAGTAACCATCTAAAATTATAATTTTAAGACTTCAAATTTGTAAAATTTAGTATATCTCAAAGGGACTTTTATAAACAAATATTGAAATTAAAAATACAAAATCTAATTAAATGGCTTAATTCATACTTTTATAAAACACAAATGGTGCCTCAATAGCTCCACCAAACTTTCGGGAACGTCGGGCAATGTTGAAGGGTTTATATCTAGGCTTGGGCCTTCCATTGTTTGGATCTAGTTCAATTTGAAATATTCCATTCCAAAATGATCCAAAAGTTAACCAATATCTGCCATTCTTATCCACTAGAAGATTTGGATCAATTGCATTAAAGCGACTGTCTTCCTTCGAGCTTATTATCTTACAAACATTTTAATTGAAATTAAATTTAAAAATTCGACAAATTAAAACCGTCTGATGATCCTTCCATGAACCTGGTAATCCACTTAAACTTGTAGCAAAACCAATAAAAGCAGTGTGTCTCCCTTTCTTGTATGGGACAGAATAATAAAGCCAAAACTTATTTTGATGAAAAGAAATGTCTGGAGCCCAAAATTCATTTTTATCTTTTGTCAGCTTATTTGCCCATTTAAGGCCTTTGGGAAATGCAGAACTTTCCCTTTTCCAGTTAATTAAATCATTAGATATTCTCGCTTCAATTCCATTATGTGTTGAATAAATTATAAAATTTCCATTTCTTAAACGAACAATTGATGGATCATGGACAATATAATCTCCTTTTAATTTTGCACTTTCAGCTAATAAATTTAATATTTAATTCAGAAATATGTATTTATATAAAATCTTACCTTTATTTAATGACAAAATTTTTATTAAAATTATAGTGTTTATTCCAATTATTTTTAAAAATATATTATTCATTCTTAATTATTTAATATTAAAATAAAAAAATTTAAATAAAATTATTTAAATGATTATTTGTTATAGAAAATATACATAAATTTATACAAACAAGGGGCTTTTTATAAAAATTTAATTTAATTTTTTTAAAATTTAATTTAAAAAATTATTTTATAAAATTCTTCAATTTCATACCTGAATATTAAATAAAAGATTTTTAAAAGAGAATTCTATTTTTGTCAAACATTAAAAAAAAATTTAAAATTAAAAAATTAATATCGTCATTCAATTAAATGTTTTAAATACATTTAAAATTTTGGTTCGAAATTTTATATGTGGGAATACATGTGTCAATTGTGGCTTGGAAATAAATGATAAATTAAAATTACTTACAAACTATACAAAAATTTTTATTTGAAAATTATTATTGTGGCAAAAAATATTGGAAAAGTTTTTTAAATAATTTTTTAAATTAATTTAAATTTAATTTTTATCTAAATATTTATGATAAAATGTATAGTATTTCACATATTTATATTATTTTATTGAATTAATTTTTAAATAAAATTAATATTTATCAGAATTCATTTATTTGATAATTATTTAGATCAATTACATATAAGTAAAATACTAATTTTCGAAGACATTGCAGATTTTTCTGTTTATTTCAATTATTCTTTTAAATGACAAAATAAAAAATTTATCAAATTTTAAAAAATAAATAAATAAATATATTTCATATAATATTTAAAAATTTGCAGAATAAGGAAGTTAAAATTAATTTATTAAATAAATTTAATCCAAAAAGAAGGAAGTGAGTTAGTCAAAAATCAGACAATTTTTAGAAGTAACTCTAGTTAGCTTACGTGTTTTAAACAAAAAAGAAAATTCGCGTACCTTTTTTAAAAAAAATTTTTATTTAAAAAATATAATCATTTACATAATTAACACCATATAAAAAGTTTAAAATATCGTTAAAGCTTCCGGACCCAAACTGCGACGTTGAAAAAAACATCATGGAGGACGAGTTACAAATATTTTCATTAAAAATTAGACAATTTAGGCCATTTATTTGAATCCCATCCAATCTTCTTTATTCCCAATTTTGGCATTCCATTATCATTTTTATCATAATAATGATAAATTAACAAATCACCAAAACCCTCTGCTGTATACACACTTTGTCCTCCAGGTCCAATTTCATTCCCATTAGAAGATAACAAAAGCATTCCACCCCCATTCATCATTGATACATTTTTATTGTCAAAATAAGGTCCTTTTGGACTTTTAGAACGGCCAACATGAATACTATAAGTGCTTTGTAATCCATCACAGCATTTATCAAAAGAAGCAAATAGATAGTAGTAACCATCTAAAATTATAATTTTTTGTAGTATATGTACATATGAATAAATTGTAAGTGATCAGTAGAGCGTGTTTTCTAGGTTTTAACTCATTTTTTTGCGATCAGCCAATGATGAGATATATCGAAAAACACTGTCTTGCCGCATAATGAAGCGTACCTTTCGAGTTATTAAAACATAAAAACATATTCTGGCTTTTTCTAACTTAAAACCTTTGACGGTACACCTCAATTGAGTCCCGACTCAATTGAGTCCCGGACCCTATAACTTATGAAGGGATGGACACTTTTTGCTACTCTTGGTACCATTAGATAGGGCATTAAATAGGCTACAATATACCAAAAAATAAAAATTCCAGACCGACTGGTAAAAAAGTTATAATCGATAAAGTGCCGAAAAATCCGATTTTTTTGAAAAAGTTAGTTTTTATATCATAACTTTTTTATCAATAGGTCAAAAATTTTGATTTTTTGATATGTTGTAGAGCTTTAGATTCTCTATCCAATGATACCAAGAACATTAAAAATTATCAACCCGTACTTGAGTTATAGGGCCGGGACTCAATTGAGCCGAGACTCAGTTGAACTGCTCCGAACCTTTGAGCCTATTTCGACCTTTTTTGACCTACTCTAGATTTTTGAAAATTTTTCTTAAAATTTGATTATTTTAAGTCAATTTCCGCCAAAACAGCATCTCAGACACACAAATAAATAGGATTTTATCATAATAGGATTTTTACATAAATAGGATTTTATCTCACGATTTTTTGGACCTAAAAAACGCTCTAGTGATCAGATATTATGATTTATTACGCCTTATTTACACTAATTTATTACACTAATTTTTACGTGCAAGTCATAAAAAATTTTCTTAGCAATTAATAATCAAATTGGTTTTTACTTTTGTAGAAAACAAAAGGCGCCTCTATAGCTCCGTTCACATTAAAAGGACGACGAGCAATATTTATTAAAGTAGCTCCAGGTTTTGGTTTCCCATTATTTGGGATTAGCTCAATTTGGAATATTCCATCCCAAAATGATCCAAACGTTAACCACCATTTGCATTGAGTATCCACAAGTAGATTTGGGTCAATAGCATTATAATGACCGCCGTCTTTTGAGCTTACTATCTTAACATAAATTTAATAACAAATTTAACAAAATTATTTTATTATTTTACCTTTCCTTGATCCACCCATGTACCTGGCAATCCAGTCGGACTTGTAGCAAATCCAATATATGCTGTTTGTTTTTTGTTCTTGACGGGAATAGCATAATAAAGCCAAAATTTATTGTTATGGAAGGAAACGTCTGGTGCCCAAAAAGTGTTTCGTGTTTGAGTCAGACTCACAGCCCAAGGTATACCCGTTGGAAACGCAGAAGCTGTTCTCTCCCAATTAATTAAATCGGATGATTGTCTGGCCTCAATCCCTATATTTGTCGAATAAACTCCAAATTTCCCATTAGAAAGTTTGACTATTGATGGATCATGGACAATGTAATCTCCTTTTAATTGAGTTCCTTGAACTAAAATAATAAACAAATTTAAATATTTTAATAAGGATTTGTTTTCCATCCCAAAATGGTCCAAACGGTAATTTTAGCACGTGACTTTGATTTTTAAAGGAAACAGTAAAACTAAGAAACCCATCATCAAGACCGCGAAAAAACCCCGACCATTCAGCGTAAATTTGAAAAAACTCGAATAGAAAAGCTTTTCCTTTATTTTCAAAAAATTCCCTAAATGACTAGCCATGCTTCTATAAAATAAAACTATTCGTAAGAGGTCTAAAACGACAATTTGTTAAATTATTTAGGCAAAAATATATTTTAATAATAAATTTTAATTTAGGTATATTTACCTTGATATAATGAATTAATTAAAATATTCGATAGAATTAAAATTAAAATAGTCGGAATAATTTTCATTTTTATTTTTGAAGCTATTTAATTTAACGTTCAATAAATGCGATTAGGTTATTATATACAAAATTTTACTCCAATATACTTAAATATGTTCAAATAATTAAATTGTTTCCGGTATTTGTAGCCATTCATTTATAGTAAAATATTACTTTTTTTTTGTTTAAAATATTAAATAATTTTAAATAATTTTAAATTTACTCAATCTAAACAAATAAAACAATAATTTAATTTTTAAATTAAGACTTATAGTTAGGCTGGCATTTGGATTATGAATTTTTCTTTTAAATTTTTAGGCGAGAAAGAATTAAAGTAAAAAAAGGCAAAAGAGAAAAGGAATTTTAATTAAAAATTATAAATTTGGATTTTCGAAGATAATATAAGTGCAATGAAGCGGAGATTGTTCAACAAAACTTTCAAGTCTTCTACTAGGGGAAGGATTTCTTTCTGCCCGAGTACAGTCTGTGTAAAGACCGTGCTAAATATTTTTAATTTAAAATATATTATTTAAATATGTCTACATGATGTTCTGCTTGGAATTCTCGAATATCCACTACTTGCCATGATGGATTAAGTAGCTAAAATAATTATAGTTGGTTAAAAAATATTTTAAATAATTACCGCAATTACTGCCAAAATTACAGCTGTGAGTAAAAGAAATAACTGAAAAATATTTGTAATTTAAAAATTATAATTTTTTAGTTAAAAACAAAGTTTAACAGTTTTTGATAAAAAAATTAATTAAAATATTATTGTGTATTATCTCAAATAAAAACTAGAACCCGACTCGTTTTCTAATTGAAAAACCTACCTCCGGGCACTAATAGAATTAATATGTTTTTAATTCGATATGTTTAAGGTCTTTTTCCTGAAACTATTATTGTAAATGTGATTTACTTAGATAAATTAATAAAGTCAGATATGCCAATCCGAATCTGGCTAAATAAATTTTTTAGGAAGTAATCATTTCATGTCCATTTGATTAATTAAGATTCTTAAATAAAAACCTCAAAATAAAAACAAGCATTAACAACAAACAACTTATTACATAACAATAAAATGCTTCCCCAATTTGTTGCTTTAATTAAAAAGAAAATTTTTTTTAAATTAAATTATATATTTACTTCATAAGTCCCAACAAGACCCTTAAAATAATTTTAATTGAAAAATTATTTTAAAAAATAATTTACAACGACAAAACGGCTATCAACACGATGAGCTGCGAAAAAGAAAACAGAAGCAGCTACAACGGCAAACAAAACTTTTTAAATAAATAATTTTAAAAATTATTTAAAAATTATTATTACAAGCAAAGAAACTGGCAGTACTGTGTAGAACAGCACATCCTGGAGTACAAGGTGCACATAATCCCATTGTACAGGAAAACAGAGCTGCTATTAAAGAAAGGCCCATACAAATAAGAACAGCTTTTTGCCAACCTTTTTGTCGGTTTCTTCCTTTGTCTTACGACCTGCGGAATTTTGCCTTTTTGAAGAAAACTTTGAAGAAAAACGAAATTTTTATACACTTTTTAAAGATTTTAGTTATACATATGTTAAAAATTTGGAATTATTTTAAGGGTTTTTATCAATTAGCTTTTTATTTAAAGCTAATTTATATTTTCGGCAAATTAAAAAGAATGTTTGCTTTTAAAACTTGCCAAATTAATCGTGTTATTCAAAAATAGAAGAAAAAAAACCATTTTAGCACTCTCAATATTGCTTTTTAATTGAGAAATAAATTTGAATAAAAAAAGAAAGAAGATTTATCAGAGTTTTAAAATAAATTTAGAAATTAGTAAATGAATAAATAAATAATGTTAATATTTATAGATTTTCAAATTAAATAATTAAAATTATAGTAAAAACATTTTCGAAAGTTGCTCACCAAACTTTCGGTAATGTCGAGCAATGTTGAAAGGTCTATATCTGGGCTTGGGCTTTCCATTATTTGGATCTAGTTCAATTTGGAATATTCCATCCCAAAACCAAAATCTGCCATTCTTATCCACTAGAAAATTTGGATCAATTGCATTACAAACTTACTTACAAAATTTCTATTTAATAATTATTCTTGGGACAAAAAGTAATGGAAAAGTTTTCTAAATTATTTTTTAAATGTAATTAATTTAAATTTAATTTTATTTATGAAATAATTTATATTTTAATATGCAGATGAATTATCATAAAATTAAAATATTAAATTTAGAAAATATTAAAGAGGATCTTTCTGTTTCTTTACAGATAATTTCCTAAATTTCAATATAAAAATTTAATCGAATTATAAAATATAATTAAATAGATATATTAATTTACTTGCAGAAATAAGAAAGTTAAAACTAATTTTTCAAATAAATCTAAACAAATAATTATAAAAGAAGGAAGTGAGTTAGTAAATCTCGTCTAGTTTCAAGCTAAAAAACAGCGTAATTCCCAATATTTTTTTCTATTCTAATGTATCTTATTTAAAAATATAATCATTTACATAATTAATACCATATAAAAAGTTTAAAATATTATTTAAATAACTCCAGGACCCAGACTACGGCGTTGAAAAAACGTCTTGGAGGACGAGTTACAAATATTTTAATCAAAAATCAGACAATGTAGGCCATTTATTTGAATCCCATCCAATCTTTTTTATTCCCAATTTTGGCATTCCATTATCATTTTTATCATAATAATGATAAATTAACAAATCACCAAAACCCTCTGCTGTATAAACGCTTTGTCCTCCAGGTCCAATTTCATTCCCATTAGAAGATAACAAAAGCATTCCACCCCCATTCATCATCGATACATTTTTATCGTCAAAATAAGGTGACTTTTAGAACGGCCAACATGAATACTATAAGTGCTTTGTAATCCATCACAGCATTTATCAAAAGAAGCAAATAGATAGTAGTAATCATCTAAAATTATTAAATGCAAAATCTAATTAAATGGCTTAATTCATACTTTTGTAGAAAACAAAAGGTGCCTCAATAGCTCCGTTTACATTAAAAGGACGACGAGCAATATTTATTAAAGAAGCTCCAGGCTTTGGTTTCCCATCATTTGGGATTAGCTCAATTTGGAATATTCCATCCCAAAATGATCCAAACGTTAACCACCATTTGCCTTGAGCATCCACAAGTAGATTTGGGTCAATAGCATTATAATGACCGCCGTCTTCTGAGCTTACTATCTTAACATAAATTTAATAACAACTTTTACCAAATTTTATTTTATTATTTTACCTTTCCTTGATCCTCCCATGTACCTGGCAATCCAGTCGGACTTGTAGCAAATCCAATATATGCTGTTTGTTTTTTGTTCTTGACGGGAATAGCATAATAAAGCCAATATTTGTTGTTATGGAAGGAAACATCTGGTGCCCAAAAAGTGTTTGGTGTTTGAGTCAGACTTACAGTCCAAGGTATACCCGCAGGAAATGCGGAAGCTGTTCTTTCCCAATTAATTAAATCAGATGATTGTCTCGCCTCAATCCCTATATTTGTCGAATAAACTCCAAATTTTCCATTAGAAAGTTTGACCATTGTTGGATCATGGGTAATAAAATCTCCTTTTAATTGAGTTCCTTGAACTAAAATAATAAACAAATTTAAATATTTTAATAAGGATTTGTTTTCCATCCCAAAATGGTCCAAACGGTAATTTTAGCACGTGACTTTGATTTTTAAAGGAAACAGTAAAACTAAGAAACCCATCATCAAGACCGCGAAAAAACCCCGACCATTCAGCGTAAATTTGAAAAAACTCGAATAGAAAAGCTTTTCCTTTATTTTCAAAAAATTCCCTAAATGACTAGCCATGCTTCTATAAAATAAAACTATTCGTAAGAGGTCTAAAACGACAATTTGTTAAATTATTTAGGCAAAAATATATTTTAATAATAAATTTTAATTTAGGTATATTTACCTTGATATAATCAATCCCTATATTTGTCGAATAAACTCCAAATTTTCCATTAGAAAGTTTGACCATTGTTGGATCATGGGTAATAAAATCTCCTTTTAATTGAGTTCCTTGAACTAAAATAATAAACAAATTTAAATATTTTAGATAAGGATTTGTTTTCCATCCCAAAATGATCCAAATGTTTTTTTTAGCACGTGACAGTGAGTTTTAAAGAGAACAGTAAAACTAAGAAATCCGTGATCAAGACCGTGAAATAACTAAGACCATTTAGTGTAACTTTTAAAAAAGTAAAGAAACTAGAATAGAAAAGCTTTTCCTTTATTTACAAAAAATGACTAGCCATGCTTCTATAAAATTTCAATTTGTTAATTATTCAGATAATAAATTTTGAATTTAGATGAATATATTTACCTTGATATAATGAATTAATTAAAATATTCGATAGTAGTTAACCCCCCCGAGATGTCGTTGGGGCAGCGGGGTCCAACCATTTAGCACCTCCCCCTTAATTAATCGGTCATTCAACCATTCCGTCGTCAGAGTCCAAAGGTCCAAGGAGTTTCCAAAAGGTTTAAGGGGTAATTTGATCAAACCGGTTTAAGATGTAAATTTTTAGAAAAAACCAATCATTCCCCATATTTTTCATAACCAAAATGTTCCCAAAGGAGCTAAGGTTCAAGAAGTAGTTTTAAACTGGTTTAACCGGTTTCCCATATCTCATTAAACCTCATATCAAACCTCACAAAATTATTATCACCCTCTCTTATTAAACCTCTCACATCAAATTCTCCATACTTTTTAATTTAAAAACTTTTTTAAATCCCTCTTGCCTTCCTCTTCTTTTTGAACCTTTATTTTTAATACATTTACAAAATTCATTAATTATCAGAAATTAGGCGGTGAAAATAATATTTGAAAATACGTTGCAAATGAAATTACGAAATTCAACGTTAACATTGTAAAATGGAAAAAATCAGTCATACAAAAATAAAATTGGGAAATAATTATAAAGAGTAGGCGTTGAAAAGTGAAAATAGGTCAGAAAGTAGGTCATGCACGAGAAAAACTTGTAAATTATTGTTGAAAAGTGAAAATTGGGTAAATTTTATAAAAGTAGGTAAAAATAATGATAAAAATATCAAAAAATACGTCATGTGAATATTGTTTCAAAAATTATTAAAAAGTAGGCGTGGAAAAGTGAAAATAAATAAAAATTTGACAAAAAAATAAATATATATTTAAATCAAAGTTTTTAGGATTTTTCTTCATTCCTAAAATAATTTAAAATTTCTGGATTTTTATTCAACTACTGATTATTATAATACTATGTCTCCTCCACCATCAAAGAGATCAAGAAGTTTCATGATCAACAATCTTCTTGATCTGCAGCTTGGCGGCGGTGATTTTTTACAACATTTGGGTGAAGAAATTAAAATCACCCGGAAATTTAACCTTACCAAACTGTCTACAAAGTTTTTAATATCTGGTTTGCCCGATGAACCAGAAGGATTACTAAAGGAAATTTTTCAAAAATGTATTGACCAGACCCTAGAAACGAGCCATGATCACCAACTTGATCCAGATCAACTTGGTTGTACAGTGAGCAGTCAGTTGTTGGAAACTGACATTTGGATTCCAATCAGGGACATCAATAACAACACTGTAGACGCCATAATTAATCAATTCCTCAAGGTGGCGCAATCAAAGAAGCAAGATAATGGCATGCTTTGGGGTGAAAAATTCATCGTTACAGTTACATGCGTGGACAAGAAGAATCTACAAACTACACGGATTATTCAAGGTAGTGGCGGGAAGCCTATTCGTCGGATCAACGACAAGGCTTTGATCAAAATTCGTAATTTCGACAACTTTTGCCTATTCTATTCGTTGATTGCTTCATACGTATTCTCAATATGTTCCTGGTCGAGGAGTAAATTTTATAATTACATGCACAGCCGATATGGAATGGCTCATCAACTCGAGAAGGATGCACTGGAATTAATGAATATAATTGGAGCTCCTCTTGATCAGCGTACCTATGATGCAAAGGATTGGGTGCCAAAGGTGGTGGACTATTGGAATTCTTTGGATAAAGGTGGCTTTAAAGTTTTTATTTTTGGGGAATTCAATGAAAAGCCTATTTATAAATATGGGACTGAAAATTACAACACTCCAATCCTTCTTTATTTTAATAATAATCATTTTGATGGAGTTAGAAGGGCAAGTGATTTGTTTGGTAAGCCCTATTGCCTTGCCTGTGAAACCCTCTATAACAAACCGAAGGATCATGCGACTTCATGTAAAGCTAAATGTCAAAATTGCTCCAGGATAGGCCCCGACTACCCTTGTCAGCAGATGAACAACTTTTTCAAACATTGTCCTAATTGTGATAAAGAATTTTACAACAATAACTGCTATGACCATCACATCAATTCTAATTTCTGCAACAACTCCAAAAAATGTAAAAAGTGTGGAGTGGTATGGAATGTTGTTGTAAACAACCG